ATGAAATAAAACGTGGTCCAAAGTTAGAATTTCATTTGAAATATTTAATGTTGCATGGGAAAAAGACATTTCATTATAATATAATACTGGTTTAAAATAATGCATTTTTAGATTTTAAAATTAGCATTATCCTGTAATCTCAGTTTGCCATCTGTGGCATGTTTTACTGACGCATTAAACACAGCTGAGTACACAACTACTAATATCTTCCTAAGCTCAACATTCTGCCTGTACACTACATGGGCATTAGTGTGGACACACCCTTCTGACACCTGGGTTTGGCAATATTCTACTCTGCCACAATGCTCTCAAAATCTTATTAGTAGACAAACAATATTTTTTACCCATTTTGTTATTTTTTTTAAAGGTATAGTTCACCCAAAAATAAAAATTCTGTCATTAATCCTCACGTCCTTCCAAACCTGTAAGACTTTCGTTCATCTTCGGAACATGATTTTTTTTTAATGAAATATGAAATATTCCTTATTACTGGTGCATACATTCATGCATAATTAAAAAATGTAATATGTATGTTTTATATATATATATATATATATATATATATATATATATATATATACACTCACCGGCCACTTTATTAGGTACCCCATGCTAGTAACGGGTTGGACCCCCTTTTGCCTTCAGAACTGCCTCAATTCTTCGTGGCATAGATTCAACAAGGTGCTGGAAGCATTCCCCAGGGAGTTTGGTCCATATTGACATGATGGCATCACACAGTTGCCGCAGATTTGTCGGCTGCACATCCATGATGCGAATCTCCCGTTCCACCACATCCCAAAGATGCTCTATTGGATTGAGATCTGGTGACTGTGGGGGCCATTTGAATACAGCGAACTCATTGTCATGTTCAAGAAACCAGTCTGAGATGATTCCAGCTTTAGACATGGCGCATTATCCTGCTGAAAGTAGCCATCAGAAGTTGGGTACATTGTGGTCATAAAGGGATGGACATGGTCAGCAACAATACTCAGGTAGGCTGTGGCGTTGCAACGATGCTCAATTGGTACCAAGGGGCCCAAAGAGTGCCAAGAAAATATTCCCCACACCATGACACCACCACCACCAGCCTGAACCGTTGATACAAGGCAGGATGGATCCATGCTTTCATGTTGTAGACGCCAAATTCTGACCCTACCATCCGAATGTCGCAGCAGAAATCGAGACTCATCAGACCAGGCAACGTTTTTCCAATCTTCTATTGTCCAATTTCGATGAGCTTGTGCAAATTGTAGCCTCAGTTTCCTGTTCTTAGCTGAAAGGAGTGGCACCCGGTGTGGTCTTCTGCTGCTGTAGCCCATCTGCCTCAAAGTTCGACGTACTGTGCGTTCAGAGATGCTCTTCTGCCCACCTTGGTTGTAACGGGTGGTTATTTGAGTCACTGTTGCCCTTCTATCAGCTCGAACCAGTCTGGCCATTCTCCTCTGACCTCTGGCATCAACAAGGCATTTCCGCCCACAGAACTGCCGCTCACTGGATGTTTTTTCTTTTTCGGACCATTCTCTGTAAACCCTAGAGATGGTTGTGCGTGAAAATCCCAGTAGATTAGCAGTTTCTGAAATACTCAGACCAGCCCTTCTGGCACCAACAATCATGCCACGTTCAAAGTCACTCAAATCACCTTTCTTCCCCATACTGATGCTCGGTTTGAACTGCAGGAGATTGTCTTGACCATGTCTACATGCCTAAATGCACTGAGTTGCCGCCATGTGATTGGCTGCTTAGAAATTAAGTGTTAACGAGCAGTTGGACAGGTGTACCTAATAAAGTGGCCGGTGAGTGTATATAAATATAGGGCTGTCAGCTGTCAAATGATTAATCGTGATTAATCGCATCCAAAATGATGCGATTGTATAGGTGCACTGTGTATAATTACTTTATATATATAAATACACACACATGCTTGTATATTTTCACGTATACTGTATAGCTTTATATATAATTTATATTATATATAAATATAAATATTTTATATAAATTATATTTTTTTCTTAAATATACATGCATGTGTGTGTATTTATATATATATATATATATATATATATATATATATATATATATATATATATATATATACAAAATAATTATACACAATGCACCCACATATTATGTAAAGACATAATTTTATTTTGGATGCGATTATTCACGATTAATCGTTTGACAGCCCTAATATATATATATATATATATATATATATATATATATATTTACAGAAGACAGAAACTGATACAGGTTTGGAATGACATGAGGGTGGGTAATTAATTTTTTTTTTAATTTTGGGGGGTAAACTATCCCTTTAAGAAACAAGTCCCAGATGGTTAACTAAATGAAAAAAACTGTAAATGTGAAAATAATGATTATGCTTCTAAATCTTATACTTTCGATTAAGTGCAACTCTCTCTACACTGTTTTCCATATTCTCTCTTCCTCGGCCTGAATCTATTTTATTTAAAGTTTCCAAGACATTATTTAGTTGATAGCGCCCTCTAGTGCCACCACTACTCTATTACAGCACTGCAAGCTGTGTCTCCTTCAGCATTATTGCCACCGTCTGGGTCATATTTTGATCTCTCATTTTTTTTATTGATTGACAAAATATTTTATACTGCATAATTTTTTTTTCAAATAAGAAAACTTTATGATTTGTCATTTGAGAAATGCCAGACCTGTTTATCATCCTGAAAATGTCCCAAAACTGCCATTTTATCCACAAGCAGTGATTTTTTTTTTTTTTTATTATTAAAAACCTTCCAATGAATGTGCCATAAAAATAGATGAATACTGGCACTGACCTTGCTTTGAACCTTTAGCTTTTTATAGAGTGAATCCTCCAGTGAGCTCATGACTGGTGTCCCTGAATCTAACACACCAGCCAACTGAAAGTCAGTGAGGAGAAGCAGCAGGTAAATGATGAGGATGGTATTTTTCACTCACTCACTTTTACAGGGTGCCACTATATTTGTGGTCTGTGGTTTTCCCAGAGAGCAATAAGGCTTGATAGACACACGGTGTGAGGAATAGAAGGTGAATGTGATTCAGTATTGATTCTTTGCTCTAGTTTGGGTTGATGTAATGTCTACACAGAACGTGTGTGTGTTCAAATTGTGGCTTTTCAGTTACCAAAGAGAAGTCAGAAGAAGATCAATTTATAACATTTTGATTAAAAATTATGAACTAAAAAAAAAGAAATATATCAATAAAAAAACAACATATGGATGAATCGTTCACAGCAAGATCAATTAAATGCATTTAAAAAATAGACAGGGTAATTTTACATTTCATGTGGACTTTAAACTTAAAGTAACTCTAAGGCAGTGGTAATCAACCGGTTTTGAAGCAGGTTCTGACACGGGTCTGAACCCACAGCCATCAGGGCCAGGCTGAAACTGGTACCTGTAACCTGGGTGTGGCAGGGGGGCTCAACATTGCCCCCTTGAATGCTGTCTGAAAACTTGATCCATATATCAAACACGCTTGCATGAATTATGATACTCGGTACACTTATAAATCTCATCAGGCCAAACTCTAGTTAAACAAGTCGACTATTATAAGGATTGTTTGGTAAACACATGCTTTGTAACTTGATGTATTCCTCCTAGGAAATTCATTCAATCACCATCAAACTCGGTGTGCATGAAGTCAAGATATTATTAAGGATGCTAAATTGTCGACAGATTTTTGATAACAGTTTGGCTGTGGCAATGAAATTAATTTTATTACTAAAAAAGGACACATAAAGTGTCTTATAACTTACTTTTACAGACAGTTACAAAACGTGGTGTGTATATTGTTCTTGTCAAGCCAAACAGCTTTCTAATTTACAGTTATTAGATCTGACCAACAGAAAGTCAGATATGGTGGTTTGAATGTGACTCCGGCTTGGGCCCGTAGACTAATCGCTGCTCGCAGCAATATTTATTTATTTATTTTTTATCTTTACAAAGCCTATACATATGGCTGAGCATCTAGGCATACCACTTAATGTCCAGAGGGGAAGAAAGCAGCCTGCCATCGTGTCTCAAACTCTATGCTCCATTAATCAATAAGCCTTCTTCCCACCGGCCCTGACATGCATTTTAGTTCCTGTCAGGCAAAGACGACTTGATAGCAGTAGTTATTTATATTATAGTTTAGCAGACACTTTCGACTGAAAATTTACCTGCTAGAGGTAAACTCTACCTGTAGTAGCCTATCATAGAAAATATAGCCTACTGTATAATAGACTATTTTACAAATTGGTGATTTTGGTTTTGATTTAAAAGCATGAAGTTCCAAACCTAAACTTAACCCTCGGTGGGAAACAAGCAGATCATATGAAATTGTGAGATAGAATCCACACAATTTAAATAGTTTACAGTAAAATAAAAATCACCATAAGAGTGAGTTTAATATTTCTATAGTTTTTCTTATTCTATGTTATTGTTAGTCTGTTTAAAGCTGTGAAATAACGAAGCTTAATACGAAACAAAAGCTTAAATTATTGGTCCCAATGAAGCCCTGTATTCCACAGCCTAGACCCTAGACGATTTCACATAGCCTAGCCTATATTTTAAAGAATAGAAAATGAAACTACCTAAAATAACCAAACCACTTGTTTAGTTTTAAACTAGTGTTTGAAAATAGCATTGCTAGAGAAAACAAGTTTGCTTGTAAATTAACCTAGCCTGGGAAAAAACAGACGAACTTCCGGCAAATTTGAGATTTGAGGTTACAACTGTGAAGGGTCTGGTGTCAACCATGCTGGACTTTACATATTGTACCGTGACAACAAAACCCTGTCTTGCCTCTTCCTGTTGGTAGATCTATGCTGTATCTGTCTTTATTTAATAACTTGCCAATATAGCTTTCTGCTCTCCGTTAATAACAGATAACGACTATCAGATAGAAAATACCGTCTAAATTATTAGTTAGTTTGACTTGGCTGTTTGAACAGAATTGCTATAGCCTAGTATTTTAAACACACGGTCGACTGTTCTCCTCACATCAGCGCCAGCAGTAACAGTCCTTCCTGGCCGACACATTAATTATTCCACAGTCTCCAGATATTAATGCGTTTTCCGCGTTGCCCGCTGTTTTAATGCGTTTTCCGAGTTTCTAACAAATAATTCACTGTCTCGGACGCGTGATGCACAGCAAATTGAAAGATGGCGCGAAAGAACAGCCGGCGCGCACGTTCAGGTGCACACGTCAGCTCTTCTGCTCCTCGGATTGAATGAATAATTTTAGATGCACCGAAGGGATAGGCGCATAATCTAAACGTGACTGTACGTTCAAGCTTTCTGTGCCATGAGCTGTCGTGTCCAGTGACCCGCTGGCGATGGGATCTGACCGGCATACTGATACGCTCCGACAGCAGCGTCAGCACCGGGGAGCGCGACAGCCGCAAGAACACCTCGCGCGCCACTTTGGATTTCGTTAGAGTTGCTCATTTCTTTACGTTTGTAATATTTTAATGTTGGTCTCATCGTCTCGAATGCGTTGCTGTGTAGTTGAAATCGCTGGAACGCTTCTTCAGATTAAGTTTGGGGCTATTGCAACTCGGTCGATTAGAGAGATGCTGATCGCTCGGGATCACTGGTGCGCGGGGACCTTGTGCCTCTTCATGCTTGTGGTTTTGACGCTTGGCCGTACCCCGCCAGCGAACAGGTAAGACATAACGTGCTTCCCTGCTTGTGTATCATCAGTCTGACTGCATTCCCTGCAGAGCCATGTTAAACCAGCCTAAGATGGTTTGCTGGTCTTAGCTGGTCTCCCTGCCTGGTTTTAGCGTGGTTTTGGGCACTTTCAGATAGTCAGGGGGATGAAAACCAGTTTCACTTGTTTGGCAAGCCTGAGGGCCCAGGTCGCCCAAGCTAGAAGGCAGTTAAAACCAGCTTTGCTATGCTACAGTATCAGATTTTAGGCTTAAGGTGGTTTCTTTCCGCACAGCTGAATCACAGTTTCTTAAACTACTCTTCCCCAGTGTGAATGAACAGAGCAACATGTCATACGTCAAAGTCACCGTGGATAAACTTCTCAAAGGCTACGACATCCGTCTCAGGCCTGACTTCGGAGGTAAAGACATTTTATTGTTTTAAAACACTTGTTTTGGGATGTGAGACCATGTTAGAGAGATTGGTGTCTGTTTACTTTGCAGGTCCTCCGGTTGATGTTGGTATGAGTATTGACATCTCTAGTATCGACATGGTGTCAGAAGTGAACATGGTGAGTCCACAGGCTGCTCAGATTGTTTAATAGATGGTGGGATATTAAGCAAGTATAAATCTGTGTCAACACAACCTGTTAAGGCTACAGTTTGTAAAGTGGTAGAATAGATTTCAGTTTGCTGTTGTAGTACACTCAGGAAAGACTTACAAGCTGTTCCTATTTCTTTCACAAGCACAGCTGACTGTAAGATTAGAGAGACATTGTGTTCATTTTGCATTATGATTGTTTTGGCTTTGGAGCTGAACTGACATATTCTTTTACTCTGACTCAGCAAAGAAGGCCAAAATAAACAATTTTGTGAGGAACATACACACAAGACCCCATATACCCACACCCACAAGATGGTGAAGTTTGAAGTAATGTATTTATTTTTCATAGGTTAAGACAACAAAAGGTTACATGTATGTGAACTAAGAAAAAAAAGGAAAAAGGGGACACATACAAACATATATACATATATACAGTATATACACACATGTATACATACATACATATAAAAAGGACATTATAAGCTACAAATATGGTTACACTGTTCTAAAATGGATGTTAAAACAAATAAAAATATTATCTTGGAATATCTTGGAAAAATATCTTTCCAAAAAATGTCAGTTGACAAAAAACTCCCGACAATGTAAGCTATGGAAAATTGTTAACAATCTAGCCGCTTTATTCAGCTTTTTACAGCGGATGCCGGATGCCATTGGAAACACGGTAAGTCTATCCCTCACAGCCTCACTTTCACACCTGTCATGGCACTGCTCTGAATAAGGTCTATTGAGGACATTAGTGAGGTCCTCCTGGAGATTAGCCCCGATCATTTTCTTTTTAAAATGATAAAATAGTTGTAAGAATAATAGTAAAATATGTTCTGAAATAAACTTCAGGTATAGCCTTGTGCATTTACACTCTGAAGTCTGAAGACGACTAATGCACTCTGTGGGATTTCTAGGATACTCAGGTCTAAGGTTGAGATTGTTACTTTTGTTATGACAAGATGTCACATTTCTCATGCTGGAAAGAGCTTTTTTTCATGAATTATGGATAGTGGGCCTGAACAAAGCCATTTCTGTGGTGATTTGTCATACATTAATTATTTTAGCAGGTGGGAGGCCTTTTAGGGAGGACACATGGTGGAAGGAGTTAGTGAGGCACAGCAGAGAGATAGTTAGCATTTGCAGTGTCTCCCTCAGGACTGGCTGTTTCTAGAAATAATATACTTTTAAATTGAAAAATATTATGTCAGCTTCCTCTCTTGTGGCAAAGTCAGGGTAAGAAACTAACCCAAAAGTTCTTGTGGAGTTTGAAGTTATAAGGTAGAGTTGACTCTGGTGGTTGGTTTCATTCCTTGTTGACAGGAAGAAAGGATCTGGCATAACATTGAGTATTCTTATACTCTGTTTTGAAGTTCTTTATCTAATCAGCTTCTCATAAATGATTTTTATACTGTTGGGCTGAGGGTCAAAACCAAGGCAAAACAAAACAAACAATAACAGAATCCAATAGGGAATTATCACGCTTCCGGGTTTCATGGGCGGGATTTGTCAACTTTGTGCATGTCCACTTCCGACGCAGTTCAACAATGGCTGAGACGAAGGTTATATTTCACTGCTCTGTTCCAATTTGTAAATCTAACCAACAACGCCAACCCTACGTAAGTTTTGATGGATTCCCGACTGAATTGAGTATAAGGAAGAACTGGATTAAAACTTTAAAATAAAACAAGGTAGCACGTTTGTTTGCAGCCGGCACTTTAGTGAATCAGACTAATTTACCAGGGATGCCGTATAAATAAACTTAGTGTAGCCCGTCATCAGTTCGCCAGTGAGATCGCTGATTCAACGGAAGTGGCAGTGCACAAAGATCACTGAATCCGGAAGTCCTACGTATCAGCGTGATAATCCCCTATGGTGTACATGAACGCCACCACAGTGTTGTAAATATGAGTGGGAAGCTTGGGATTTTCTTTATAGGGATACTCCCTCAGAGTTAAAAAGTTGAGTTTTACCATTTTTGAATCCATTCAGCCGATTTTCTGACATTTAGAAGATTATCAGTAACTAGACAGTTTCTGGTCTCATTGACTTCCATAGTAGGAAAACATATATACTATGGAAGTCAATGAGACCAGAAACTGTCTGGTTACTTATATTCTTCTAAATATCAGAAAATCGACTGAATGGATTCGAAAACGGTAAAACTCAACTTTTTTAACTCTGGGAGAGTTGTAAAATGAGCTTTTTTCCAAAAAAAAAGTGGACTATCCCTTTATGTTAAGACCCGATCTTTATAAGTTGGAAATGTGCTGGAATACCACAATATTATGTAGCAGTGATTTTGTCAGGCTTTTCTATTTACAGTGAAGTAAGCTAATTGCCTGCACAAATGTATGATAGCAGCATTATAATATAACAATATAATAAGTAATGATAAAGTTTATAGTAGCTTCATAAATTAATTCAAAACATAAAAAAGCAAAAACACACCTGATGTACATTCCTTGTTTTTAATTTTCTATAAGTAGAGTTTAAGAACCTTGCTCTATTTTTGTGTAATTAATTAAGAGAGAAAGTACTCCGCCATTTTACCGTCATAAACACGGCTTCGCACCTCGTAACTTTGAGATCTTGTGGTCCGACTTGAACGGACCACAAGACACAAGCAACCAGGGATACCCAGGAAAAAAAGCCAAAATGCAGTGTGACAGTAACCAGATCACTGAAGTGTAATGAAGCATTATAGGGCTGCCATCGACTAAAGCATTTTCTAGGTTATAAATGGGAGACTGTCAAAACATTTAAATAGTTTATTGATAATGTCTTTAGTTGTGTAACATTAAAGACACTCACTGCTCTTGAATGAATAACTTTTGTAACCTTAATTGTAAGGACTAATCTGTATTATTTAATGTATTTTGGGAAGGCCATTTAGTGTTATTTTACATTTGATTCCTTTTTAAAAAAAAATTTAGTATTTATTATTTTCTTTATTTTCTTTTCATTATTCATTATTTCATTATTCATACTTCATATTATTATGCTAGTAAATTGTTTATTTGTTCTTATTTTGTTATTGACTGTTTACTTGTCTTTTCTGTGAATTCAATTCAGAGTTAGAAATCAGGCTGGTGCTGTGTGTACTTTCTTGTGTAATATTTGCCCCATTGTAAGAACAAAAATGCACTGCATGATCAAACATTTAGTTGAGATAATTATGTATATATATATATATATATATATATTTTTTTTTTTTCTGAGAAAGAGCGATCGGTGATCACATGGCAGATACGGCTTCCTGTGATCAATGATCGTTGATGTACTCCAAAAATCCTGATCGGAGCACCCATACTCCTTTCCTTCATTTTTACATCTAAATTACCTTGCATGTAATGCACACTTAATCTGCATAAACACTTTTTTAAAACTCTTAATTTTTTCTAGCTTGTTTTTTGATATTATTACTATAAGCATATCATTTTAATAACGGTGATATATTGATTAATATGGACGATTCAATGAAAGTAATTATCAGCTTGCTATCGGCCAGAATTTTTAAATCGGTGCATCCCAAGTGCTTTTAGAAAATCAGATATTGATATCTGATAAAAAATAAAAGATATGTCCTTTTGTCCAAACTCTCAAAAATGTGTTTGTCTGAAATAAAACCACACATACACTCTGACATGATTTTCATAACACTTCAGGATTGAAGCAGCAGAGATCTACAGGTGTGTTTTCTGTTTATTTGCTTTCTATAGCACAAAATTTCGCAGGTTCAGAAAACTAAAAAAGATGATTTGGCAGAGGAGTGAGAAACCCCGAATTTAAATAACCCATTTAGAAACAGCGTTAAACTAAAAGATAATCTACCTCAGCTCCCCTAAGAATATTGCATAAGGTCAGCTGTTCTCAATGCTGACTCAGCTTCATAGCCAGCTCTTATAAGCTTCTGCATTGATTGTTAATGTACACTGCTGGTTACCTCAGTTGCCCTCGCTCAACTCGTCATGACTGCAGTGTGAGGGCACATGTTAAGTTTGCAGTAAAAAAGCTGACTCTTTACCGCAGTATGAAGCTGGTGTTTTTACTAATGACTTCTGTGGACTTAAGCAACATAGACTATTAACTTTCTCAGTCTTGTTGTAAACATTTAATCAGTTTATTCCAAAGAAAAACTTGTATATTGTTGCCCTATTGTTGGTTTGGTTTTGCTTCTATTGTTATCCTCATTTGTAAGTCGCTTTGGATAAAAGTGTCTGATAAATGATTATGTAAATGTAAAAAAACTGGGTGTTCATAAGATTAATGGGGTTATTTTAAAGCTGCAGTCCGTAGTTTTTCCTCTTTGTCGCCATCTCTGTTCGAAATCTGCAATTGCAGTCATTCGCGGAACTTTCAACTTTATGTGGGTTGTGCCTCGGCATGGAGACTGTCATTCGGAATCACTGATTATACCTTTTGGAAGTATGACCAACATAAGAATTTTCACCGGAAAATATCATCTGAACAAGTAACATCCACTTTTGTGCATAAGTAAAATGCAAAAGTCTTTTGCATTTTACAGCGGGTGATTGTCGTTTGAGCCTTTCTTACAATTTTTATTTTCCCAAAAATAAAATTTTTAACCCAAAAAAGTGATGGACTGCAGCTTAAAAAAATTGGGGTGTTCATAATAACAAATATATACCAGTTTCATCTTCCTCTGAAATTACTTTCCTTTTCTGCTGATGTCACTTCCTGAGGCCATGCAAGCTAACGGATCATTTCAACCAAAATATGTAGGCATTGATTCAGTAAACTTGCATTTGGTCTAGGTCAGGGTTTTACACTTATTTTCTGTTGAAGCCCGGGTGGGACAAGAATTTAACCATGTGCGGGCCGAATTACCTTTTTTAAACCTTAGTGATCTGACAATTAGTCTACAATAATATTAACCATACAAACTACAAATAATAAAACTTGAAAAAAGTTTCGGGCTGTGCCTAATATGTTGTCATATATCAACATGCATATTGTTTTTCTCATAATACTGCATTTATATTTCAGGCCCTGTGTTGATTCATATTTCTTAAGTTTCAATTAATTAATGAAAAAAACTTTTTGTCTAAATAAACAAAGTCTAAATTCGCATTGACTTTAATGCTGCATCAAGCTGAATCAAGCCAAAGAAGATTGTTTTCTAGTAATTTTTGTATTCGCTACTTTCAATCCTGTTGTGTCCCTCTGAAGTCTCTCAGCCTCTGTTCTTCTGTTCCACTGCAATGACTTCAGTGTGATGGATTGGGAACAGAGAAATTAGTTCATTTTAGACAGCACTGTGAGATACAGTAGGGTGTGACTGTGATAGTTTTGGCCTCGATTTGTGTGTGTATGCGTCTGATGTTGTGTTGTTTAAGCATTTGTGTATGTGATTTTGTTTGCGTGTCTGGGTGCTCTGTGAAGAAGTTGAGGCGCTGGACTGATGATTTTAAGCGGTTGTCAGGGGCAACAGCTGCTTCTAATAATAGAAGCTGAAGGAGGCATTTGTCCTAAGTGAACCTGAGGCACACCCATCCTGTCTCTCTTTCATATTTCTCTAGCTTTCTGACTCGGTCTTCGCCTACTCTGCTATTCTGCCGCACTCACATAAATTCACTCAAATGGTGTAATCTTCATGGGACTACACACTTCACATCTGAAGTGTAGTTTTATTTAAATAAAAAGGTGATAGTATGAGAATACAATGTCCTTGATCATTTGAAATAAAATAATTCATGGTACTATGAAAATACTGTGTAAATCACAAATACATGATGTACATTTATACATAAATATATTTATGTTTCAGAACTCAGAACCTTCCTCAATAAAAAAGAACTCATTATTATAATTATTATTATTTATAATTATTAGTTAATATATCATATACTTTAAAAATATTTGCACATTTTATGTTTGAATAATACTACTACTAATTGTTATTAATAATACATTCATAATTCATAAATGAAAAAAAAAAATAATTATTATTATTATTGTTAGTTTAGTAGTAGTACACAGCTGGTCAAATGAAGTCCACGTTGTGGCCTACAAATGTGGGACAACCTACTTCATGTAGAATAAATCAGCTTTTTCTAGGCCACTGTAATGTCTGGAGTCTTAATCATGTGTCAGTGGACATAAATATATACTGTATATAGAACCAATCAAAAGTTTGGGGTCAGTAAGCTGTGGATAGCTTCCCGAGAGGCATTTCAAAGATGGTCGCTGAGTGAAACGATTATTGCTTCAAAGGCACTTGGCCTGTACACAATGCCGTTTGCTACGTGGTTTTGGGTGGAAATGACTGACCGACAGTTTCTCTCAGTTTTTCTCAACTCTTTGGTATTCTGTGTTTGTGGCCATGCGCTGGATCCTTCACTAAAAACCAAAAGTAACTCGCACCAGCTTAATGTTTTCTCTTTGAATACACTTGCTCCCAGGAACAATACAAGTCGACACCATTATGATTCAAGTTTGCCAGGAAGTATTTCCTACTAAAGAAAAGTGGTATTTGACTCAGATAAGTGTATCCATAACAGACTGGGGCGTGGCCTTGGCAACTTGTCAAGTGCATTATGGGTGTTGAAGTTTTCCTACATATTTAATGAAAGGAAAGAGACCAGCCTTTTCTCTAGTCAGGTGACAACGGTTTAAAAAGATTTTCCATTCTACTCTATAGGCAACCACGTCTTGCAGTAAAATATACCCCTTTAATCCTAACAGAAGAACTAACAATTGGTGTAGATGGGTAAACTTGCATGTATCATTTGCATGTATCATAAAGAGCACCTGTAATTGTTAACAAAATCACAGTGAACTTAACAGTAGCATTTACAGCTTTCACTTTAAGATTATGCATACATGCAGTATAGGCTACATCATCTCAAAACGTTTTCCCCTCAAAGGCATGTTAAGAAATTATTTCATAGAGATGTTTAAGTCACAATATAATAAATAATATGAGAATTTTAACCAAATCTTTGCTGAGTCTGGAGAAGCAGTAGTGCTGGGACAGGACCTACCTTCACCCCTTAGTAGGGCAGCTGAAACATCTTAAGTGTTTTTATAACATCACACATATGGAGAATCTCAGAATACTAATTGATCCAAATTATCTTTAGATCACTAATTCCTCACTGCGTTTTCTTTGTGTTTACTGAAAAGATTTGCATATTCCATTGGTTAATATTGACAGGATTTTACTGCATTGCAGCAAACAACTTGAACTTGCTGAGAATAGAAACATGACTGTTACTATGCTAACACAAGAACACATATCCTGTTGTATTGCACTATTCAAATGCTTACAAGAAAAAAAGAAAATTGCAGAAAAAAAAAAATTTAGTTAATAAAAAAAAATTATTGACTTATTTTTGCTACATCAGTTTGTGTTATATGTTTACACAGTTTGTATCCGAAAACTGCTGGATTTTTCTTTTTAATGGCATGTGGCATTCAGCACTGGTGAGGCTGTGTTTTGGTCACAGCAGTAATGACAACTTGGACAGGTACAAGATAAAAAGTGAATTTCACAATTGTTTTAAATCTCCACTGTACAATTATTTGATGTGATATAACATGATGGGTCTGATTATTAGATACGATATGCTCTGTTCGAGATTTACTAAGAAGGATTCATTCCGGTGAGTGAAGCTAGTTAAATTATTGGACTTTTTAACAGCATCTCAATGTTGGTTTTTACAGCTGGTTTTAAAGCCAAGGTTTTCTGCCAGAATAACAGATGCTGTGATTGTTTTATAGTGGTTTGTAAGTGTCTCTGAGAAGCAGGGTGATTCCACTCTGTCTGTTTAACATTCACTCTCACTTATCATGTTGATTTAATGGGATCTCAGCTTAATTTGTTTAATCTCTTATTCAACTGGGAAACGTGGTGACTGGGGGATGGAGTTAAAGCAGAAGCCTTATTGAAAATATGACTGCGTTTTACAGTCTAACCTTTGAATTTACAGTTAGTCCCAACTCATTTGAGTTCTTAAGAAACCTTTTCATTTTCACAGCAACCTACATGAAGTGCATAGTCATGTACTGTAAGTGGCATTACTGAGAGCAGACTGGTGATTGAAATATGGATGTACTGTTGGAATGGGATCTCATTTGGTTTCCTTTTAAGTTAGTAATTTCACTGACTTGATTAACTTGACCTCAAAGCAACTATTTTCCTTATACTATGGCAAATGTAGCACAGATTTGTTATAATTTTATTGTTTTGTCTACAAAGGAGAGCTTGTCATCTTAGATGATTCTTTGTGTCTTTACAAATCTAGAGGCTATCTGTTCTTCCGCTGAGAAAAGGTCTTTGCTTGGAAGGCAAGCTCAGCCTCGAGGTAGTTGACATATTCTTTGATATGTCAGAGGGATGAAGATGTAGGTCCTTCTGAGATTACAGCTGTAGACAGAAAAGGAAATTAGATAAATAGCAGTGGGATATATATATATGTAGTTTGTGTCTGTGACATATTTTCTTTGAGTGTTAGTGGGGTGTTTGCATATGCTAAAAGCCATGCATGTTTTTGCCGTTGAAACCACTGTGTGCATTTTTGTTTTTTTATGTATATTATACATTCGCGTGTTTTGAGACTATAAAGTTACACTTCAAATTTAAAAAAAAATTCATTTCATATTGTTAGATTGTGGCAAAATGTTGATCAGATGGTACCCCCACGTCAAAAATACAGAAAAATCAGATCCCTTCCAGAAGATTTTCCATTCTGTCTGGTTTCCAAACCCGCTCAGCAATACCAAACTTGTTAACAGCAAGTACCCAAAACTAATGACTATAAATACAAAGAAAACAAAATGTATGGTTGCTTTCTTGAGGTAACACACAAGTTGCTATTGAGAATCCTTCAATATCAAGTGAATTTAGTGAACTGAAAAACAAACAAACAGCAATTGAGCTGTTCACAAACCTAAACTTTTCTGAGTTGTTTTGCAAAGACTTAACCCAGACGCCAAGACGCCATTATACTCAGCCACTGTGTTAGGAACATCAAAATGACTGTGTTCGTTATTACACCCAAGAACAGAACACCACAATCGCTTGGACGCCATTCTGCTCCAGCGTATCAACAATGACGGACTATGATGACAGCTCGCTCAGGGCTGGTCTGTGTTCAAATGCTGCTGTCAATCAATAATTGTGGGAGTGGTGTCCGTTTTATTGACGTCACAAAAACGAACGGCTCAATTTGAGACAGGGGAAAACATATAAGGAGATTAAAACAAAAACACTGGATAGATTTTCATCATTAAATGATGGTTGTGTACAGGCACTGCCAACACACATTTCAGTACTATCAACTTGGAAAAAGTGCGTGTACCATTATATGACCCCTTATTTCTTTCATCTAGATTGCATGAGACTTTGTGACTTTTCCTACTCTTGCGCTACTTAATACTTCAGTCCAATAAAATTGGTTTTATAATAAATCCAAACCAAAAAAAAAAAAAAAAAAATGAAAATAACTATAAAAGCAAGTGAAAATGGCAAATGAGCTCATGACTTGTCCTCTGGTTTTATTGGTAATTTCATGTTATTTTAAAAGTTTTTTTGTTTACCACCAGGTGACAGAAATCCTCCACTAAACCATGCACATTTTCCATGTATTTCCATAGATAAAATGAGAAATGTATATCTTTATAAAGTTTCTGTCTTTTTTTGTAATAATGAATGGCCGATTTGGAGGGACGAGTTTTCTTGAAGGCATTTGACAATCAGAAAGAGTCCAGATATCCAGATAACTGTAAATGTATCCTTTATTTTTGTGTTTTTTTCAGGATTATACCATCACCATGTATTTCCAGCAGTCCTGGCGTGATAAGCGTCTGTCCTACACAGGGATCCCTCTAAATCTTACTTTGGATAACCGAGTGGCTGATCAACTCTGGGTGCCTGATACTTACTTCATAAATGACAAGAAATCTTTTGTTCATGGGGTCACTGTGAAGAACCGTATGATTCGTCTACATCCTGATGGGACTGTGCTCTACGGCCTCAGGTCAGAGAGTTTGTGTGTGTGCAGTTTTTTAAAGTATTTTTGTTTTGTTTTACTTCTTCTTCTCTCTCTCATGCATTAGATTAATGTTTGAATCTTTTGTGTGTGTGCATCTATACATTTATCTCTGTCTGCATGTGTATGCTGTATTTTTGGCTGACCCTATTCCCCTGGCAGTCCTAATTCTTTTTTTAGAATTTAAAGCCCAGTGAGAGATGCGTATCCTGTCTCAGTCAGGGAATATAGGTTTTGTTAATCAAAGAAAGATGAGAGTGTCCCTGTCCTGGTTGAACTAGGTTACTTGTTAGCAAGAGCACAGTCCATATCTGGACCCCGGAATGGTTTCATCCAGACATTATTAGTATAACATGTAAAGAGAACAAAATTTTTTAAATCATGAGTACATTATGTACACTTCGTTTCAAATCTTGGGGGTTTTAATGTTTTAAAAAAATTAAGAATATACCGTAAAATCAACATTTCAGTAATATTATGACGTATTATTACAATTTAAAATCATTTATCTATTTGAATATATTTTAAAATATAATTTACATCTGTGATGACAAAGCTGAATTTTCAGCATTACTCCAGTCTTCAGTGTCACATGATCCTTCAGAAGTCGGGCCTGCTGCTCAGGAGACATTTCTTATTATTATCAATGTTAAAAGCAGTTTAACGGCTTAATATTTTTGTGATTTTTTTTTTTCAGGATTCTTTGATGAATAGAGTACATTATAAATGACTCAACTGTGTTTAATTTCCTTCCAACAAAATATATGTAATTGACACCAAAAGTTAAAAATCTATTTTATGTTTTAAACAAAAAATCCATTCGGTTAGATTTATGCAAAAAATAAGACAAAAAACTATTTAACGAAAATAAACAATCCTTAGTATCGTGTTAAGATTAGCTTCTATTATTGTTACTGTAAACAACCCTCTCCAAAAAAAAAAAAAAGTATATATAAAGTATAAAAAAAGTATAAGTAAAATGAAAAAGAAGTTCATTTACTCACAATCGAGTTGTTCCATGTATGCATTTCTGTCTTCTGCTGAACACAAAAAAAGATATTTTGAAGAAAGTTGGTAACGAAACAGGTTTGGTTACCCATATTCTACGAAATATCTCCTTTTGTGTTCAGCAGAAGACATAAATTCTTACAAGTTTGGAATAACTTGAGGGTGAGTAAAGAATGACAAAATTTTCCTTTTATCTCTTACTTTATAACTATCTCTTTAAATCTACCAAAACTTAAAAGGATAATGATGATTAATGTCTTTCTGCAGAGGAAAAGCTGCAGTCCTACACTTCTTTCCCTACATAGTGCAGACTGCAGAGGTTGATTTGCAGCTTTGTCTGGCCGATATACCCTCTCTCTCCATCTTGCTCAATACTGTATAATTCATATCTAATGTACTATGCCTGAGAGGTATGAACATGTGCTGCTCTACCTATTAGTGTGTGTCTATAAATACATGTGATCACTGATTAGAAAACTATCTCTCTGCCAGAAAAACAATACGGAGTATAATAGGGTGTTTTTGTGTGGGTGGATGTACCTGTACGTGTATACAGTGTGTTTGTGTTTCATTTGTCAGGAAAAAGTGCTTTATACTCATTCAGGGCTGCAGAACGAAGAAGCAATTCCATTATAAGTTGTCAAAAAGTGCTGCTGTCATGCACCGAGAGGCCATCACGTGTCTGTTTCCCTGTTAATTCAAGCTCAACATAATTAAGATCCAGCCAGAGGCATTTCAGAGAGGGTCTGCACGCTGCAGACATGACTGAGACAGCGTTAAGGCAATTACTCAGGAGAGGAATAAAGAGGGATGAAACACGGGAGTGATATAAGGAACGCAGTGTGCCTGCAGTGTTGTTTTACCAGCAGCTTGTGGGAGAACCTTTAAATGACACGTGAATAAGCAAAAATTACTGTTTACAACCATCCAATTACTTGCTTCATTTCACTTAATGGCGGTTGATAGGGAGATGATTACTTTTGTTTTGTGATATGAAGTAGTACACGTGTGCTTGTCAAATTATTATTAGTTCAGCATGAATTAAAGTTCTGCAAAGCTTATCATTAAAGGTGGAAGTAGGTGGTGTAACACCATCTGCTCTTAAATGTTTCACCTACTTCTTTTGACACTGGACAATTTTTTCAAAATGAATGATCAGTCAAACTCAAAAGCAAACTTGCTATTACTGTAGACATACTAAACAACTGCTCGATTGTAATAGTATCATGTTGTTGTTTTTCACCTCATATCTGTAGGATAACTACCACAGCTGCATGTATGATGGATTTGCGCAGATACCCGCTGGATGAGCAGAACTGCACGCTGGAGATTGAAAGTTGTAAGTCCTCTTCACTGTTTAACCGTTAGCATTCATGACTAGCACGCTGAATAGATAGGTTAACTGCATATCCACAATTAATCATGTGTTAAAGGGATAGTTCACCCAAAAATGAAAATGATGTCAGTGTTTACTCACCCTCGTGTTGTTCCAACCCCGTAAGACCTTCGTTCATCTTCGGAACACAAATTAAGATATTTTTGATGAAATCTGAGAGCTGGATCACTCCTCCATACTAGTCCATAGGCTTCTTGAGGGATTGAAACTTGCTCCCACTGGCTGGCTATGTATTTTCTCAAATATGTATTTTTGGATCATTTTTAACCCAATAAAATCTACGGATTGCAGCTTTAAGACATCTAGTCAAGACACGTCTTGAGCATTGAGCATGTTTCCAACATTCTGTTACATGTGTTTCATCTCACTGTTTTTAACTCAAGATCACGTACTTTGTCAATGGCTTCACATGTGAAGAGGTAAATAAAGGTAGTAATTCCAAGTTGAATTTCTCCTCAGATAGGAAAATGGGTCAGGGGACGTGATTAATTTTGTTCATTTTCTTTTCACTTTAATTTTCTACCATTAAATTTATATAAATCATTGAAAAAATACATAGAGAGAAGGTGAATGCAAAAAAGTCCACATTTTCAATGAAAGCTTTGAATAAAGATGCATGAATTTCTTGCAGCAATGCAGCAAAAACTGGCACAAGCAGTTGTATAATCCTAATGCTTGCATGCATACATGAATCATTATTCATTTATCAAGAAAAATACCTGCAGAGAATCTGGCTGTGCTGACTAATCTCTCTGCTTCATCTTTCTCAGTCTCTGCAGTGTCTTACTTTCTGCCACTCTTTCTTTTTGCTCTCTTTCATCTCCTCCCCTCATCTCTTTTGCACTTTGCCTCTCTCGGTGTGACAGACAGTGTTTGTAATTGGGTGTCTGCTTTGTTGGGCAGACAGCTGTATTTCTCTGAGGCTGCTGTCATGTCAGAGCTCTGAGATGCATATCACAGCAGGAAGGAGAAACCTCAACACCAACATCACAGCAGACATAATAAACCATATCGCTTTCACACGGCAGACATAAATCATGTCACCTTCGCCACTTTCTCATCATCCATAGGACTGGACAAGATGACTTACTGTAATACGAGACAAAAATGATTTCCGCAAATAAGTTAATAGTTCACACAAAAATGAAAATTGTGTCATCATTTACTCACACTCAAACCTATGTTCTTCTGAAAATAAAAGAAGATGTTTTGAAGATTGTTGGTAGCCTAACAATTTTGGAGACCATTGACTTCCATAATTGCCAAAGGAAAAAAGAAAGAAAAAATATCTAGTTTTGGATTATATTTCATTCATATTTCAAATGAACCATCCCTTTACGCACATGTCATAAAGTCTCTTTTATTCTTTTTTATCAAAAGGTCAGTAAACATTTGCATTTAGTTTGTTATGGAGACTTTCATTTGGATGTTCATTTTTAAAAACCAATCATTTTTTCATGTCACACAGTTTGCTTTTAAAAAACTCAAATGCTTAGATCTTTCATTGACTCTTTTTTTTCTTAACATTTTTGTACGACGAAAATCACATAACAGGGTTTAATACAAAATGGGACAGCTAAATATTTTTAATTGACTCAATATTTAAAGATATGAACCACAATAATTTAATCTCAATTTAGGAGATCTGGAAGAGGAACAGGCCAAAAACATGTTGGAACAGTCATGGGACACCAGAGTGTACCCTTTTTGTTGAAAGCAGCACCAATTTATCCAACATTAAAGACTCGAACATTAAAGAGAATGGGACCGGGAAGAGTAGACCTTCATGAGGAGGATCCCTGTGCTTCAGTCACTCAGAAGTATAATAGGCTGATGTTTCTTTTGATTGGACTTAATGAAGAACAGGAAGAATTGACTATCGTAATACTTTATCTTTTAATGAAGCTTTTAATGTTCTACAGTACTTGAGATAAGCACACAGAGTCTGCAGGGACAATCTGTAACAGTTAGACCTGGACCCGGACCTCTCACAGAAGTTGATTTACCCCACTGACAACATAGACTTTGGGAATGTGAGAAAGAGGCAGCTTTCCCTTGAGCCAGCATGCTGTTCTGTGGATATATGTGCATTTCTGAATGTTTCTGTCCCTCTTTTGTTTCTCAGATGGCTACACTACAGATGACATTGAGTTCTACTGGCAGGGAGGAAGTTCAGTGACGGGGGTGGACAACATCGAGCTGCCGCAATTCTCTATTATTGATTATAAAACACTGTCTAAGAAAGCTGTGTTTGCCACAGGTACAGTACGCTCCCTGCATGTTCATGAGATGGTTTGACTTTCTTTTGAGATGAGTCAGCCCTCCTCAGTACTATATGCCAAAATTCAGTTCACTTCAGTTTAAAAATGATTCATTAAAGTAGTTGTATAGTTTCGAATTCTGCTTTATCTGATTGATGATACCATATTATTAGACCGGTGCAGAAAAGGCTCATTCGAAATATGGTGTTACAGTCTCCACAGTTTGTTAACAAATGCATGCATATACACGACTATTCAAAAGTTTGGGTTCAGTAAAAAAAAAATGCTTTTGAAAGAAATGAATACTTTTATTGACACTGATGTAATGGCTGTAATGAGTAATGGCTGCTGAAAACTCAGCTTTGCCATCACATGAATACATTACATTTTTAAAAAGTTATTTTAAATTGTAATAATAATAAAAACTTTATTTTATATAACACCTTTAAAGCAGCTTCTCAAGGCACTTTACACAATAAAAATACAAAGAGAGAGGGGAAAAAATACACAGGTAGAAATGCAAAGCATACAAAAAACAAAAGAACATACTTGAATACAAAATAATTAAAAAAAACATCAAGAAATGCTAACCTTTTAAGGTTTTAGGTTAGATTTAAAAATGCTTGTGCATCTTTAATATGAGAAGGAAGTGCGTTTCAGTGTCTTGGAGCATAGGATGAAAAAGCACTGTCCCATATACAGTAGATAGATAGTAAACTTGTCTGTGTCTAATGTCTCTTTTTACTGTATTTTTGGTCAAATAAATTCAGCCTTGTTGAGCATATGAGGCTTCTTTCAAAATCTTACCAACCCCAAACTTTTGAATGAATTATTACTATGTGATTAAATTACTGAACTGTGTGTGTACAGAACAGGATTAAACACTAAAAGGTGAAATGACAACCAAATTTAGATGTGTAAGTGGCGTTTGTGTACCTCACTGACACAAAACACTTTAATTTCTCACTTTCAGGGTCGTATCCTCGTCTGTCTCTCAGTTTTAAGCTGAAGAGAAACATAGGATATTTCATCCTGCAGACCTACATGCCTTCAACGCTGATCACCATCCTGTCCTGGGTCTCCTTCTGGATCAACTATGATGCTTCAGCTGCAAGAGTTGCACTAGGTGTGTGTGTGTGTGTGTGTGTACACCTAGTACTTCGCACCAACTAAAGACATACATTTTTTGCACTTACTGTAAATTTACAATTAATGTCAACCAGTTTCTAAATAAGCTTTTTTAAACATTGTAAAATTGACTCGTTTTAGGAATCACCACCGTTCTGACTATGACTACAATCAACACTCATCTCAGGGAGACTCTACCTAAGATCCCGTATGTGAAGGCCATAGATATCTATCTGATGGGCTGCTTTGTCTTTGTGTTCCTGGCCTTGCTCGAGTATGCTTTCGTCAACTACATATTCTTCGGCCGTGGTCCACATTTACGGAAGAAAGTGGCAGAAAAAGCTGCAAAAAGCAACAATGAGAAGAGTAACAAAGTTCAGGTGGGTTTTTGTCCAGCTCTATGATTACACTAAGTCATTTTTTTGATCAATACAGTACAATACGGTGTTTGACTTCATACTGTCTCCTATTATTATATGTAGATTACCTTCATCAAACATTCACAAGTTAATTTTTAAAAACACTAATTTAATAACACTGTTAAATGTAATCTTTAGCAAATCTGATATTTTTTTGTACACGCCTAAATGTACTTTTAGCATTTGGATTTTAGTATTTATTGTTTTATTTTAAATTCAATTTCGACATCATAATATTGGCCAAAACTTGAGAAATATTAATTGTCTTAACAGCATTGGCCAGAATTGTAATATTAATACATCTTTAAATTCGAAATCTCTTCTATTTACTAAAATTAAGTTTTATTTATTCCTTCGTTTATATTAATAAAGGTTGATGTCCATGGACACATTCCCCTGACAAACCTTGATCTGCGCCTTAGTGGGGCAGAGATGTTAGGTGCTCTTGGGGACCCGAGGAACACCATGTTCTCTTATGATAGTGCCAGCATCCAATACCGTAAGCCCCTTACAAGTCGGGACCTCTATGGACGGCCCACTGCCTCTATCGAGAGGCCAATGGAACGGAAAAAGAGTCATCTTAGGAGGCGAGCCGCTCAACTAAAGGTGAAGATTCCAGACCTGACAGATGTAAACTCCATTGACAAGTGGTCACGTGTCATTTTTCCAATCACCTACACCTTCTTTAACTTGGTATACTGGCTGTATTATGTCCACTAGGGAGCAGCAGTGACTCAACCCAGCCATACACACATCAGGTCAGGCTCTCTTACCCTCCTTGCGGTTTCGACTGCCAGTCAGACAGGAGGAAGAGGTACATTCTGTAGTTAGCCCTTCTCTGTAAATTATTCAACTATTAAAATATATAATATAAATATGTATTATAATTTTTTCAATAAGAAAAGTCAAAATGACTACTCAACTTTTGCTGCTTAATGTAGATTATCATAAATATTAGTTAAAATTGTCACTGTATTTTGCACTTTGCTTCGGTGGGATCGATTTCACTGACTTGCAGAAAGTGCAACTACGCAATGGGGAGAAAATAGGCTTTTCTTAGCTGAGGACTGTAGACATCTACTGTAGGTCAGACAGGCTTGAGTTTGTAAAACAGCATTTTAAAGTTGTTTTCATCATTTATCTTTCATATATGAAACTCTTAAAAGCATGTTCTGGGTTTTTCATAATTTTAATTCTGACATTTGTAGCATAAATGAAAAAACAGAAATTAATTTCGACCTGTCCCTCAGTTTTCTTATAAACAATTGGAATAAATAATTTTCAAACAAAGCCCTTAATTTCAAATAAGTTTTATTTGTAGATATTATTAAAGCTGACCCCTTGTTTTGTAAAAAAAAAAAAAAAAATTGACTTATTTATTTAAGAAAACCAATTGTTATTCAGTTGTTTGTTTCTGACCTCAATATGACCCAAGCTAAAGATTAAGAAGAATAGTAAAAGTTATGTCAACCTAAGTGTCGATCTAATTCTGTTCAATATCTGTGGTATTAGTTTGTGGTTACAGCAAGACACTTATAATAAAAGTATACTGGCCAGGTAATTGAAATAACCACATACTGTAACATGACACGCTATGGAACTTTACACCAATTGCCATAATATAAAGCACTGCTTACATAGGCCAAACAGTATTAATGTGCACTATAATTTACTTAATATGAGGTAATTCACCTAGAAAAGTAGTCAAAAATGACATTTCATAGTTTTTCGATGGAGCTTAACTTAAATTAAAACCTAGAACATTTCTTTAAAACAAGACTATATTGTTCAAGTTTGTTGATAAAAGCGTAAGACACATCACATACTGTAGATTAAACCTGTTCTTCATTAAGACTTCACTACCAAGAAATGGGCTGATCATTAGGGTTATAGTATTTATATTGCTTGTTTAAGACTAAAACTCAAAAAATGTATTGTCTGCAGCTTTGGTGTGTCTATATGTGGCCTAACACACTTTTTGTTCTCTATAATCAAATGTAGTTAATCTGCCAAGAATGGATGTCCTTGCATCAATATGACAACACATGATGACAAGCAGGATGTTCAGGAGTTCAAAGTCTGGACCGTATGTAAATTTGTACATTAAAACATATCAGGTATCAGAAGATCTATGATGTCATCAAGTTTTTCTATTCTTCTTCTTATAGGCCAATCAATCCTGCATATTTCATTCAAAGCAGTAGTTGAATTTTCACCCTACTTTATATTAAGTGTCTAACTACTGTATAGTACGTACTAACATTTATATGAATAATTTCATACAATGCACTTATTTTATACATGCACGTTTCTTACACTATACGTATATTTAATAATATCTTCATGAAATTACTCCTGTAATTAATTTCTCTAATTACTCTGTTGTTGACCCTTCTCTTACATCTTAAGTGAATTGACATGAAGGCCAAGTATGGTAACCCTCTTTGTCCTCTGTATTTATTTAACCCATCTATGAGTAGGGAACATTGGGCAGTGTGGTGCCCAGGGAGCTGTTGTGGGTGTTGAGGGTGGAAGAAAAAAGCTGTTCTTTCAGTACTCCCATCTATATTTTCCTGCCGGTAATGAGAAGTGAACCCGCAACCTTGGGGTTACAAGTCAGGCTCTCTAACCATTAGGCCACAAATGCTCCATTAAACCTAATTAAACATACCCATGCTGCCCTATAAACCTACCCATACCACCAAACCTGTCCCTAACCATACCAATATCCCAGCTCAATAGCAGCAAAAGTGTGTTGGGTATCACTTTATTTTACTGTGTTCTTGTTACACATTACATGTAGTTACTATAGTAATTACATGCAACTAACTCTTAACCCTCAACATGAACACAATAAGTGCATTGTACCTGATAGATAGTAGTTAAAGACACCTAATATAAAGGGTAAGTTTAATACTGTAATGCCCAATAAAATCCAGACTTGGTTCATTAGCAAGAGGTTAAAAATGATATACAGCTTAATTATTGATAGTTCCTACTGCTCAATAATTGACTCAGCACTCCTAACGCTATTGCAATCGAAATGTAGCTATGACTTTAGATATAGACATAGTTTTAGGGATGTAGTTCTAACTATTTATATAGTAAGTGACTTCACTGTATTTACCTTTCAAATTTGTATAAAGCTATAAACATATTCACTGCGAGTTATATATTATCTAACCCCACCAAAATGTCAGATAGGACTTAATAACAAATTAGATTTTTCCTCTTTATGGCTGACTTGTGCCTTTAAAAAACAAAACAAATAAAAAAAAACACAATTTACAGGGTATACCATTCACTAGCTTAGTTGAAATTTTCACAATGGATTTCCACTTTTCTATAAAACAAAGATTACTCAAGGGTACCACACATAATCAAAATCGAAAGGTACTTTCAAGGGCTTTTCTAATGCCCTGCATTTATATGTAATATTATAAATATGAATATATATGGCATGTAAATAAATTGCTTGCATTGCAACACTCTTTTTGGTGTCAACAGCTCAGTTATTGTCCAGGAGTGCCCTAACTCCATTAAAGATTCTCATTTAAAGCTAATCAAAGAGATCTCAAGATTGACAGAATAAAAACTTACGCTACGCTAGGCAAAAACCTCTTTTCCATGAGATATTGAAGCCAAAAATGATCCTTAGTTTTGAATTAATGTAAAACGCGTTGCGGCAGCATGCAGACATATGCAAGCATGCAACGCGTTTTATACATTAATTCAAAATTAAGAATCATTTTTGGCTTCAATTTCTTGTGGAAAGAGATTTAACGCAGTACGAGAGAACCTCTCGTAAGAGAACAAAGCTTGCACATGCTCCAGCCAGAATCAGCATGAAGACAGAAACACGTAAAACACATAGAAATGAAAACATATTTAATATAGGGGTTTGATAGGCCATACTCATACAACGGCAAATGCCAAAAATAATGTTTTAAACGGTATCCTATTATCCCTGTAAGATTTGCACTCATGTTATTGGCCGGTGCAATCTTGTGCAGATGCGGAGTGTCTTGAAGGAGAATGCATTGTCACTGATTGAGACTGATAAGATGATTGTATTTGGGTGTATGTTTGTATTTAAGCCTAGCAACCACAGTTGTACTTAAGGATACTTTATTTTAAATCGTAGACATTTTGAATGAATTCAAATAAAATATCCCACTAAGCAAAATGTGAAGAGCTGATTATTGCATTGTCGTTGCATTAACACAGGGCATAGGTGTTATTTTGTGAACCGGGAAATCTACAAATCATGATGGACACTGAATTAACTGTGGATTGGATTAAAAAAAGGGTTAATTGTTCTCACAAACCATGTCTGTTCTGCTTTTAGTAATTTTATCTGCCTATTACTTATTATGTTGACTCGCATAGACAAAAAAGGAACAACTCTCGACTCATGTGTTGGCATCAATGTTTTTAGTTGCTTTATTTAGAAAGGCATCCTTTTGGCGTGTGAAACCAAAATGAATTTGCATTTCATGGAGAATTGAACAAGATCTCTGGCATCCGTTTAGCTTTTCATTGTGTAAAATCCTCAGCTTCAAAACTATCCTAGCACCATTAATCAAGCAAGCCACTAGTCCATAATGATGTACTGTAACTTGAACAATAATATTCAGTCTGTTGAGCTCTATGAACACTTCATAGGTAGAGAGACAGAGAGATTTCCGGTTCTTTCCATAAGGTTCCTGTTTGCCCACATGCAGGCATTGTCTTAATACAGACATCAGAAATCCTCTCTTTGACAGCAGATGGCACAGAATCATCTTTATAAGGAAATGTACTGGTTGGTATCTTCATTTCAACTGCAGCACCACCTAAAATAAGACACAATATCAGCAGAGATAAGCGTTGGTGCCACTATCGTACAATAAAGTACCCCTTTTATGATTTTTTTGGGATGTTGCCTTTCATGTAGTGTTATTTAGCTGTTTTGAATATAGAAGTTCTGCAAAGTTTTAAAGATCAAAGTGAACGATAAATGGAGTTATTGTCTCCCAAAAGAAAGAACCGATTCTGAACTGCCTGAAACAAGTCATCAGTCTGTAATTCCAGTTTTTTGGCTGCCCCTGATCACCGTCTACTTTGACTCGCCTTTAAACACTAGCTTTAGCTGAACCCTGGAAGAGTTAAGTTCATGTTGTCGACGTGTCGAGAAGACGCTATTTTCTGCACTGTGAATTTAAATCCACTTTGTATGCACTTCCGTAAGATGAAGACTTTAGCTTGAATTGACACGGTAAAACCAACACTATGATAACCGTTCCTTTCACTGTATACAAGTGCTGAGGGAGCCTCTTGAAATGCAGATATAGTAAAGGGCGTTTTGTATGAGCTAAATTTGAGCTATTTGACCAATCTGAGCAGAATAAGCTCTAGAAAGACGGGGTTTAACGAGACCAAATCCTTTCTATAACCATTTCAGACACTGACAAAAGATGTGATGCTGCAAGGTTGTTGTTTTTTGTTTTTCACTTTGAATATGTGTAAACCTATTATTGGAGACTCCAAAACAAAATTAGAAACTAACAAGGGCACTTTAAATAGTCCATTACCTTAACCTTAAGCATTACCTTATTAGCAGCCTCAAGTGAACTGATGAGAGTTTGCAGCTCCTCTTTGTTCATTTCTATATTTATAGATCTCTGAAGTCCATTCTCTTTCAGGTCCAGACTGAGATTTAGCAGAGGGGTGTTTAAAGCTGACAGCTTATCACTGGATAATGCCAGCTAGGAAGGAGGAGGTAAGAAAGCAACATTAGGAATTGGGGAAAAAAAAAAATCAATATATGTTCTTATCGCTATGATTGATGCATACGTGTATGTGTGTGCTTAGTGCACCTTTAACTGCCAGTTAAAGTCCTGTAGCTGTGTGCTAGAGATGGCATTAGTTCTCTCCACCAGAGCATGTCTGATCTCATCAAACCTGGACCGCACACACTGGACAACAGCCTCAGCCCGTGCTGTGGCCAAATCACTCAGCAGGTCCTGGATCTTCAGACGTGCACAAAATAATCAATCTCACAAATTAATCAGATGTTTTGTCAACCAATAAATCTATCAATTTGAACATATGATTTTGCACACAGACACGTTTGTATGTCTGTTCAGATTCTCCACTACTAACCTCTTGATCTGAGCAGCCCCTTCCTACAGCAAAGCGGATGAGAGAAGAGAGAGTGTTCATTAACTCCACCCATTCTGACAGACTCCACCGATCACCGTAATCTGTTTGCCTCGGACCACTCCGACCGCACACCCCATCCACAACCCTGTGCAGGAGCTTACAAAAGGGTTCAAAGTCAAGCTTACTGTATTTGAAGTTTCATTTAGAATTACGCATTTTTAAACAACAGATAACATAATTTTAGTAAAAATAAGTGATCCCAACTGTTTTAAAAAAAGTATAACTCAACAAAAAAATCACAAGCCAAAAACTATACCAAGACAACCATCTGATCTCAAGCTGATGGCAGAAGGTGTGTCACTGATCTCGAAACAGAATCAATACAACTATATGCCCATTTCATAAATATCAGCATATACTTACTTTAGGGCATTCTTCAGATGGCAGTTTGTCGAGCAATTTGATCATTATGCTGTCAGTCGTTTTCCCCTGCGTCAATGATGTCAGCTGACCGAAATGTCACATGACTTCATCTTCTGTCGCCAGTCGCGTCAGTGCCTTCAGGATGTTGTTTGTACTCTGGGATTTATTAATGAAACATGTATTAATAACAACATTACGTGTTAACGTCCAACAAACTGTTTCACTCACTGTTGTCACATTTATACATTATTGTCAATTTGAACGAACCCGGAAGTATTTGCTCTAAAAATTTCAAATTAAAAGTTCAAGTAAACGTTAGATCTAGATTTTAAATTAGATTAACATTTATTTAATTTAATTCTAACTTATTCGGACTTTTTACTCCAAGCAAAATTACTGGTTTTGCACAGAAAAAAATCCTATGTCTTTAAAGACAAAGAAAAACTAAAGGTAGGATAAAATAAAAAAAATGAATATTTTACTCAAAATCCCTTTTGAGAATACTGTTAATCACCGACTATATATGCTTTACGTTCAAATAATTTTTTTATTTTTTTTTTGGTTTAGATTGGCGAAGCACGATTATACTTGCAATAATAATTCAGGCACACAGGAGAGATACTTGTGGGTGTATTAGTGTTGGGGACCGGGTGCTCGCGCTCAACTTCTCCGATGTAGGCTCGGTTGCTCTATATATTTAATGTAACTGGTGGACCGTTACACACGATAACGGAAAAGCTGATGCATGTTTTGTGCAGGATTATACTTACTCTGAAATGTGGGCAGTCCGTGACTCGACGGTAAGTTTAAGGCTTTGTTATGATGATGATGATAATCTTTATTCAGGACACACAAGATGGTCCATAGCCCTATACATATACCATAATACTACAAAGTGCATTAAAAAGAAAAAGAGGAAAGAGAGAGAGAGAGAAAAAAAGGAAGAGAAAAGAACAGAGTTCTATAAAATGACTACATAGTCAGTATTCTGCAATACATACAAAAAAGTGTTCAAATGTTAACATACAAACTAAAACGCCAATGATTCCACAAACCAGAAGTGAACCTAACAGCACTCAATGCCGGATTCACTAGTGTTTTGATGATGCTGTTATATGATTCTGCTAGTCTACACATACATTTGTACATGAGATTCCTGAGTACAGCAGGACATGTGGATACGTTAACACTTACACACATTTGACTCGCACTGCCCCCTTATCTGGAAGTGGTCCTTTAAGAAAGTACATCTCGTGCCATAATGCCGCCGACATAAGCATTTTATGATTTTACACTTCTTTTGACCTGTACATACACATTTATTGTACCTGATCGGTGTCTGTGGATTTGTTTCCGGATGTGTAAAACGAAGCTTTTCTTTTTAAGCCAAAATTTGAAGCATCAACATGTTTTCATCACAATATTTTCGCGTCTTAAAGTAAGCACATGATTCAGGTTGTGTATTTAAAACATTTGCTGCTCAGAACTCAAAACAATTTAATGTTTTGTTTAAACAATTGTTTACAGAAAAGCTTACAATAGGCTGTTTAATGCCAAGTTCGATTGTGCCATATCATTTGACAACATGCCCGCTATTTAGTTTTCAATGACTAACTTACCCTAGGCAGTTGTTGAAAATATCCATGTTTTTTTTTTTTTTTTTTGTAGTCGAGACTTACTTAGGGTAACGTTATGTGTCTATGCAGAAACTGAGGCAAATGTGAACCTAGCCTGAGAAATACTTGAGTAATAAATGTGTAACTAGTATGTGAATTATGTCAGAGGCCTGTGTGAACTTCCTGTGTTTCTCATTTATTTGAGAAAGTTTGTTTATCTATAAAGCATTCAGTATTACATTTGGATTTGATACATTTGTAAGTCCTCTAAATTATCTACATGTTGAAAATGACATGTACACGTGTCTTTTGCAGTGGAATCTTTTAGATTTTTATTTAGTAGGCTAAATGTAATAATAATTTTTAATAGTTAAATTGCGAGATGATCATTTACTTGACTGAAACAACTTTGGTTTATCCATACATCATTTATTTATGTATTTATTTTTAGAAAAAAAAAAAACTTTTATATGCGAGTATCTAATATGACACAACAGGCCTCTGAGCAATGTTTATTTGTCAATCATCATTGAATTGCATTGCATTAATATGTTTTGCCCCCTACAATTAAAGGAGTAGTTCACTTAAAAAAAAAAAAAAAAACTTTTGCTGATAATTTACTCACCCTCATGTCATCCAAGATGTCCATGTCTTTCTTTTTCAGTCGAAAAGAAATTAAGGTTTTTGATGAAAACATTCCAGGATTTTCTCCATATAATGGACTTCATTGGGAACCAAAAGGTTCAAGGCCCAAATGAGAGTTTCAGTGCAGCTTCAAAGGGCTTTAAGCGACACCAGACGATGAATAAGGGTCTTATCTAGGACTAGGACCCTTCAAGTCATGACTTGAAAAAAGATTTGTTCATTTTGATGTGAACTACTCCTTTAAAACTACAGAGCTTTGATTATAAAACGAAGCATTTAATTATCATCCAACTAAGACACATTATTGAAAGATAATATACACTAGAGTGATAATGTATAATTTACATTACAAGCTATTCGAATGTAATCTATTTTTAGGCCATATAAATAACTGTAACTGCACCAAATTGCATAGTTTTGCAAAGTTTGAGCCCTTGAATAAAACTGAGGGTTTTTTTTCTCCTCAAGCATCAGCTCCATATTCTAATTATATCATACTATATGAGACATAAAAGCATGATGTATTGACTACTATACAAAACATAAAACAAATATGCAAGCCATTTATGTTCCATTTAAAAAAAAAAAGGTTATTTTGATTATTACGCCTTCGAGATTTTACAAATAAAATCTATTTATCATTTTGATTTCGCTACTCAGAGCAAAAAAAGTTTTTTAAATGTTCTGTCATTGTTTCTGCATTCATTCTCATATATCTGAGTCTGGTAGAGTAGTGAGTAAATGTGAAACTCGAGACCAAATCTGTTCTGTGGTGTGCAGACTGGGGTCAGTCCCAAATCTTTAGGGGTGCGGATTGGATCGATTCCTTTCCTAGAGCTCCTTCTATCTGATTTCCAGGAAAAATCGGGTCTATTGGAGACGCCTGATAGATTTCTTAGGCGTGCCGACACAGTAAAATCAGCATGGGAAAATCTCACAGCAATACAAGCAGCTGTGAAAAATATTATACACTGGTGTTTTGCCAGATGCAAAGTTTATCTAGGCCCGATGTATAATCTTTTTACTCTTTCAATTGCCTTTATAACCGTTTTAATTTTTCTTGCTTTTATTTTGTGATTATTTTAATTTCATTCTGTGTTAAGCACTTGAATTGCCATAGTGTATGAAATGTGCTATAGAAATTTGCCGTGCCTTAGAAGATACTATTTCGAAATTGGTAGAATGATATAGCATGTTGAATGTTGAATAGAGGATATAATATGCTAGTTCTAGTTACGCTAGATAAAATCCTCATCTAATGCTTGTTTACATTTGTTTGCTTCCAACATTTCACATAACCAGTTAAACTTAACATATCAATGGCCACCTATTATCTGCACACTGTGTGTGTGTGTGTTTATATAGTCGTTTTAGGGAGTCATTTTTCTGCTTCCTCATTTCGGGTCATGTTATTCTTGCAACATGTCCACCATAGACCTTCAGAAAAGTGAAGCCTCTTGTATCTTGGCCTGTGTGAAATATACAACAAACAAATCAAACACTCCTTCCTCTTTCCATTTTCTAGGGAAGTATGTGGTTAACTTGAAAATGGCATTGACTCCAGGCAGAACTTCTGCCTTTCACCCAACTTAAGGCTGTTAAACAGGTTTCATGCTTTCAAAAAAAGAAGAAATGGCAGATTGCAAGTAGTATACTCTGGATTTATAGTAATTTTATATGTGTGTCCAGGACGAGGGCTGTGTGTAGTGCAGACAGGGACCTCACCATTTTGTTTGGCTGTCGTCCTCATGGAGCGGCTCCAATGGGTTCGACACAGATGCCTGCAGCTGATATCCACAGACAGGAGGAGGGGCTGGTACTCTCCTCCTTCATCACTTCCACCTAAGAGCAGCCTGGACGCTCAAGACCCTCTGGTTCAGCGGCTCAGTGGAAAGAGAAGAGTGGTGGTGTCACGATGTGGTCCACAACATGCGGAGTACCACAGCTTCTCCGAGGGCTTTCAAGACAACAGCATCCGGACAACCAAGTATACACTCATCAGTTTCATACCCATGAATCTGTTCCAGCAGTTTCACAGGTGAGCTGAGTGATTTAATGGTGTGTTTGTATTTAGATGTTTTTGTGTGTTACTGACACATTTGTCTTCTTGCAATAGATCAGCAAATCTGTATTTCCTGTTCCTGGTGTTGCTGAATTGGGTCCCAGTGGTGGAAGCATTTCAGAAGGAGATTACTATGATTCCCCTAGCCGTGGTTCTCACTATCATTGCCTTCAAAGATGCCATGGAGGATTACAGACGTTACCGATACGACAAGAAAATAAACAACACATTGACGCATGTCTACAGCAGGTCAGTATGTGTTCGTACCTGTTTATAAGGTGTTGACTGTGTGGAGTTTTTTTTGGAGTTTTCCCTGGTGAAAAAAAGAAGCAAAGTATACTTGCAGCCAGACTAATTCAGTGTACTTCAAGTGTGTTAAAGGATTAGTTAGATTGAAGTGTGCTATTTTGGTTCAACTAATTTTGTACGAAGTATATTTTAGTTTTGTATTAAACTGTAGTAAAGCATAACTACGTGTATTTAGTGTACTAAATTGGAACAACTTCAAATATACTTAGTATACTTTAAGTATGCCTGTGTGTAGGGACTAGTTACATGATTGATTATTAAAGGGATAGTTCACCCAAAAATGAAAATAAAGTCATTAATTACTCACCCCCATGCTGTACCGACCCCGTAAGACCTTCGTTCATCTTCGAAACACAAATGAAGATATTTTTGATTAAATTTGAGAGCTGGATCACTATCACATACAGTAGGCACCCTAAGGGATTGAAACTTGACGGCCCAGAAAGTCATTGAAGAAAATGTTTAAATATTCCATGTGACTACAGTGGCTCAACTATAAGTTTATCAATCGACGAGACTACTTTTTGTGCGAAAAAACAAACAAAAATAATTACTTTATTTGACTATTCCATGATAAACTTATTCGCTTGATATGCGAATTACAGTCTCCATACCGGCTCGGCAACTGACAGCTGCACATTCTCTCATCTGTTTACTCATTACTTGGCTCACTCCAGTCTGTGTCCGTACGATGGGTATATATTTATGCCTAGTTTAGTTTTTATAGTTCTCAAAATGTGTGTGGAAAATTGCGTTTGTTTATACATCAGGCCCCGACTCTTACATTTTACATTTAATGTCCATTTATTCATCATAAGTTCTTAGTTAACACAAATGTAAGATTAGTTAAAACGATTGCTAAATGTAAGATTAAATGCATGATAAAATGCATTTAATTGCAGTTTTAGTTAAGAATAACGATGTTGGGAATGAGCTTCAATCTGAAAAAAAAAAAAGATAGGCAAGGGAAGGCATATGATATATCCGTAATATATATATAATGTCAGAGCTCAAGGCAACTTTGAGTTAGAGGCTCATGGATAACAGCCTGTTTGATCCAGTCGTTAATCTGGGCTTGCTCCTTGGATAAAATGTGATGGCCTTTGCTTTGTTCTGCGTCTTGTGACAGTGGCGTATTAAAGGGATCCTATCATGAGGAACACATTTTTCCTTAATCTTTTCACATAAAGGAATTCATTGCTCTGTGAAAACACTTAACTTTCAGCTCAAATGTTCTTCACACTAGCATTAAAGACTGAAGCCGAGCTGTAAAAAAATGGCTCGTTTTGAAATCTTTTTATTTTATTTTTTGTTTGATAAGAAAAACTAATAACATATGACTACCCATGTGTACACATCAGTGCAGTCTATCTAGTTTTTAGAAACCTAACCCAAGTAACGGTTAGGTAATACAAACCAAATCAGGAAGCTAGCAAGAGTAAAAAAGTGTAGAAAATCCCTGGTGTAGCATCGGTCTCTGCATATCCTTCTGAAAGATCCCAAATGTTAGAAATCAATTGAATTATAACTAAATTTAGCTTTACTGCTTAAAGGCAAGACACATCAAAGAACTATAAGCAAAGAAAAAAAAAACTGCGTTAATGGAAAACCAATTGTGGTGTCTGCTCACAGTGCCCGTCTCTGGGCCAAAATACACCACAAAGACTACAGTCAGTAGCCAACTAGCATGTACGTTCTGCACCTGCGTGAGAACAATGACTCTCCATACCAGCAGGTGGCAGTAGTCTGTATTCATCATTCATAAAGGGAAACTGGAAGAGCTAGACCTGTGAATATACATTGAGAATATACTTCTGTGGCCCTGTCCCAAATGGCACAAATTCCTACGAGTCCGCACTTTCTTGACGTAGCACCGCTTTGGCTGTTGGCAAGGAGTCTGCTGCGGACATCGCGTCAGTGTGGGCTTGGCAAAAGTGCGCATCAAGGGCGCATATCGACATTCAAACACTGTGCCTCTGAGATGACGAGCTAATTTTCAAGAAATGACATTGCATAATTCGGAATTCCCATATTGTGCAGAACACATTGAGAGCCACAACTTCCGTCTAGGCTCTCAACTTCAAGGAC